CTCGACTGATCATGTGAATCTTGGACTAAAAAAAATTGTAAACAAAATTCCCTACAACCGACTTAATGGAATGGATTAGAAGGGCTTTTGGTGTGGAGTCAGTAATAGTTGAAGAAGCGCATTGTCTGCTAACTACTTTTGAATGTCAACATCTAGAACTGGTATCTGGACGACTGTTGATGGAATTGGATCTTTATGAACTGTCATATTGTCTAGAGGGCATTGTAAAATAGTAGAGGTGGCTTTGCTACCACCTGCGTATTAGCAAATGAGTGCAAGGAACGTTCCATGTGTTTTTTGATGCTGCAAACGCTTGTTACTGACGGTAGATAAATGTCTCTTTTCGGAGTACTTTGAAAATCAAGTAACTTCACTTGCGCCCATCAAGATCGGAATGAACTAGTTTGCACTGCAATGGGCGGACTTTGTGGGTCTACATAGCGCAGTAAAAGAGAACTTTAATTCCAACATTTAAACCTGTCAAATCTAAGGTAAATGTTGTTAAACTACGCTATTGTGCAGCGCCTTTGTAGGCATAAGCAACTGCATCTCACCTCAATGAGTTGAAGACAATCACAAAGCCGAGTTTTCTAAAATCATGCAAAACATTTGGCCAAGCGGTGAGGCGAACAAAGGGAACGTTATAATATTTGGGAACTTTTAACAAGACGGCTGAGTTAGACATGCCTCTGGAGGAGAAGGCAAGGGTTGATGGTACTCCAGATCCTTCAGCATATCCACACACTTGGCAGTGATGTTGCGAATGCTTCGGCTCATCATGTTAAATTCGTTGAGCTTAATCAAATAGAAAGGTGCGGTGAGACATTACTCTCTCCATCCCTTATAGATGTGATCATAAAGTGCAACCAACGCGATGATGGATGCATGCTTTACCTTGATTAAGATGTCTTCTTACTAGCATCTACCTGCAGGCAACTTCTAGCATGTATGCAAACCATAATGTTCGGCATAATTTGTGTGACTTACCGTGATCAAAGTGAAAGGATTACAAATCCCAATTAAAGGACCGTTTAGACAACTAGATTTTCGAGCTTTCAAAATTGCAACTGACTCACTCCAATAATCGTGAAAAAAATACATACATGAACAGGCCACTAATGCTGCTCGCATTCACAATGAAGATGTCTCTTGGATGGCGCTAGTAAGTGCAATAAGCATTAGCCTCTTTTACTGGATTGGTTGTCAAGCAGAAGCAATCTCTGTTTAAGCAAAAGAAGAAGGTAGGATAGGGGACCTTTTAAAACAAGCGAATCCAACAAACCTGAAGAGCAATGCTTGCCCTCTCTTCATCAGCGGTTTTGTTGGAATGCTGAATCTGGTCGTAGAGTCCGTCAGCTTCACCCAACACATCATGAACGTTGGCTACCCTTTTTATCACCACTTGCTTTTGATTCCTTGATGCAGCAGTCGATTGCAGAAGCTCCTTTTCAAACTTAAGTAAGCGACAGTCTTCGTAATTTACTGTTTTATTCACAATTCTACCTAACTCATAACTCTCATAATTTTTTTCATTTTAATGTCTGAGATTGGAAGCGAACACCAGATTACTTGCTACAAACCCACTACCAAAGGTATGAAAGAGCACAGTAACAATGTTGGGACAGTTTCTGTCATCTGGCAGGTCTGTAAAACTACTTTAGACACTGCGGCCGTCCCACCATTTCTTAAACACGACTGCACACAACTCTCGTTTTCGATACTTGCCAAAGCACGGATGATCGCTTACTGCCAACCATTACGTCTTGAAAAGAAGCTCACATATTTGACCTGAAAAATACATTGTTTGCTTTAAAGCTTCCAATCAGAGAACAGACCTGGGCTTGCTTCTCCTCCCATGCTTCCAGTAAGTGATTACGAGCCTCCATGAGTGATTGATAGCGCAGCATCAGCGAGCGCAAAGGATCATGCGATTTGGAGACGTAGTCTTGAAAATGCCACGAAGAATACCAGTTTAGCGTCAAGACAGTTCATTCGAATTTCCTTGAAGCATCAATGACAACCACCTGCGTTCTTTTTCATTCAAAGCTTCTCAATCGCTGTCTCGTATGTGCTCGAAGTTTAACGATGGAGTTTGATGCTTCCAATATCTTAGTGGAACGCTACAGTGGTAGCAATTTTAGTTCGTTCCTCACACAAGGGACTAGCTTAGGGTTGTGGGTTCTTCATCAAATTATTGCTTGCCCTCTAAGGCATTCTTTTGGTGGAATTATTATAAATGGAAGTGAACTGCTTGCATTGTTTTTTGCTTTTATGATGTAGTGTTTCACCAAAACTGCATTTAATGTCAAGATTGTGTACTTCATAGGTATAGAGACACCTTCATGCAAATGAATTAATCAATTCATGTAAGTTTTTTGAAGTTTAAAGCATCACCTACCCTCAGGTAAGCATTCTACAGCATCTAAGAGAAATTTCTCGACTGGTTGCAAGGCTTCGATCTTTTGCTCAAGAATTGCACACCTAAAAGACACCACAAATTTTACTTCTGGGCATCTGATCCGCAGTGATTCGGGTGTCACATGATGATTGGAATGCAGTCGGATAGGCACATCCAAAAATGCTTCACATCCATTGCGAAATTGTACTCATTGGGTTGGCATCAGACATCACAAACTTCCTGTTGCATTTTGAAGCAGTTAACATTTGCTGCTCATGTAAACGCACAAATTGTATACTACAATTGACCTCCGCAACTTTAGTACAGGCAGTTACCCCAGTTAGACCCAATTTTAGCATTCAAAGGTTGCATGACGAAGCAACTACCAACTGGCCTGCGATGTTGAACTTTATTTTCACAATTGAACGCTAGCATAAGCTTTTACCCTTGCAACATGATACTAGAATTCACATTTTAATACAGCCACTCATTGTCATTTCGGTCGTCAGTGGAACCATCTAACTAACACTGACTCAGAGTGTTATGGTATTCACACATGGTTGTGCTTAGAATGCTATAGAGTAGGTTAGAAATGGTCGAAAAGACGTTTCGGTTGACCTAGCCCAGTACTGCGTGGCAAAACGACCGCTCTCATCACTCGCCTGTTTCGCACGCTCCGAGTGGCGATGATGAGTTCATGCAGCGTCTCCCGACACTGCGTGTATTCAGAGCGCATCGCCTTAAAAACCTCGTGCTGCCTGTTTATTTTGTTTATGTTTTCAATGATGATTTGCCGAAAGTTGCTACGCCTCGTCTCAAACTCTCGTGTCTGTTGATCCAGGCGTTTTCTGCGCTCTTGCTGAGATTTCATAGCAGTCTTCATCAGAGAAATTAAAAATAGAAGTTAATGCTGCTATAGAGCGTTTTGAACACTCAAAAAAAAGTGCTTACAACAAATGCCTTCATTGCCTCCCCTTGGAGTTCATTCATGAGTTTGTGAGTGAGTAGGACACTCCTTATCGACCTGTTGCATTTGTTCGCTTTCATTCTGCAAACAAATTAGTAAAAAGCGAACCGTATGAGTGGAAACATTGACTCGACATTTGGCGCATTACATGTTTATCCCTTAACCACTGCATGTAAATTCTAGTCCTTCTCTTTACCTTCTGACTTCTGAATCACTGAGATAGAATTGATGGTCTCCACATGACATGCGTTGGTGGTAAATTTAACTCCCTCCAAAATGCTTACTTACACATCGGAGAGACTCATCAAACTAGCTGTACCCTTCTCGCAAATGGAGGCTGTTGAACCCTCTTGATTGATTGACTGAGAGACATCCTTCATTCTCGCAATCATGTCGATTAAACTGTCTGAGCGATCCACTCCAGGGATGTTGTAGAGCACGCTACCCCCTTCAACGGTTTGCCTTTTCATAGCCCTAATTGTCTTGACTGTTTTCGCCATACCGCTTACAAGTACCGATCGTGATGATTGCCCTCGGGGCACCTCGGAGATGGGTAATTTTACTCTGTAAGAAGGAGGTGCGGATGTTCTCAGGGTATGCCTCTGGTTTGCACTCATTTTGGGGAGCAATTTTACCTCCAACGTGAACGAAACAGTTATTATTTCAAACAGAAGATGTCAATAGTGTTGTCAATCTTAAAAAGTTGGCGTAGATGTTGTATTGACGTCTGAAGAGTATCGATTACTTCTCCACCTTTGCTTCTGACGCTTTTGAGATTCCACAATGAAATCAATTGAATAGAGACTTCGTAGACACTAAGTGGTCTTTTTATTAAGACAGGAAATAATTCAGTAGATACGCTGAAAGCAGTGGTGACGCACAAAGCAATGTGTAGCGTCCGGCGACTTCTCCAAAGGGAACATAGGTGCTAAGGTGCCAGTCTATTTGAAAAATGTACAGTGACGGAGAGTCAAAACGGTTCATCCGCCGCTCAAACCAAGGGTTAAACGTGCATCTATTGCATTGCGCACCAATCCCCACTCACTACGTCTCTAACTGTTCCGGGTGATAGAAGTTTACCTCTATATTTGCACTGCAGTGAGATATGCAGTGCATAAATTGCCTTTATTCCAAAACGTGCCGCAAATGATAAACAAAGTCAGTCTTAATACCACAGGAATAAATAATAGATGCTTGTAGGACGATTTGGTTTTAAACCTTACAAGTTTGAATTGCCACGTACTGCGTCCTCCTTTTTGACTGAGTTCCAATCAGTCTTCTAACTGAAGGGCCGTATTTCTGATTGATGGTACTGCCATGAATTCTCCACCTCATCAGTGAAGGAAGTGGTAATTTTTAGCGCTAGCAAATGTCAACATTTGACCTGTCAGCGTTTGTCCGTTATACTTTGTTCTACTTTCTTCACCAACTCTTTCTAGATTGGATTAACAGTTTGTGGAATTCTTAAAAATATTAAAAGAGAAAAGAGTTATTGGCGACGATGGATGAAGTACAGTGAATAAGGTTTTTTGCCCACCTCAACCACATCGTCCAGTCCATTTCGAAAAACCGCAATCGATTCACTTGTCAGACAAAAGGCGATGAGGGCGTGGTGTGCTAACCTGAGGAAAATAGATCTCCCTGAGTCTCAGACCTATGACAAATCGTATGACCCCAGCGGATGGAGTGCTCAAAATGTGCAGAAGCCGTGCATAGCTGAGCCACCTCCACCCCGCACTCATGGATGTGACCCCTCTTCTGGCAGATCGCGATCGAAAAAGCGTCAAATTAGGGAGGAGACCATTCAAAAGCTATGTCACCCACAATATCCCTTCTTTAAACTACCGCCAATTCCACCTGAAAAAAGTTACGAAAAACATTCGTGCTTCAATGAGACCTTATTGGGCCACCTCGAGTATCATGACCACGACGCTCGAAAGTACTACAGAATCTTTCAAAACAGGTTTGATTTGGACATTGTTGGGCGCTTTGCGCCTCATAACCTATGCAAAGACTATCCTTCGGCTATAACTCGGAAATATGCTTTCAACTGGCCGGAATGCTGCATCATGGTAAGAACTTTTGTTGCGCTTTAAGCTGCCTGAAGGGAAAGGCATTTCTTTAAAATATGCTATCTATTTTAAAAGCAATTGTACAATGAAATGGTCAGTTTTACCAGCTTGTCTAAAAACGGGCAATGGAATTCTTGTGAACAAGCCCTAGCTTTGGCAGATTTTTGAGTTCTGATACACCCGCTTCACTTCTAGGGACGATGATCAACTGGCGGATGAATAAAATCGGCAAATATAGTGCTATTAAGATTCCTACCGATGCATATCAGGGATCCGGTGATCTAGCATGAACGCATTACGTGAGCCTGTGCGAGATGCCTTTGCCATTGCCAGATATTCTGCTGTGTAGAAGCCCTAATTTCCAAATTACATGATTGGCGCGCAAGAGACCCACCCCTTTTCCCACATTTTGTTTTAAGTTGGTCGGGATCACGTCCAAAGGCATTTGTTTTGATGTTATTGTTGCACTAAAATCAAAAGAGCATAATGTGATAACAGCACCTCCATAACGCTCATCAGTGAGGGAGGTAAAACGACGCGAATTCCATGCAATAAAAGCCGAGTTAACGTTAACCAAATTATAAGCTAGTGATTTGCGCCTTCCTACTGTAAAAATTTTGTTCATTACTATTTCATTTTGATAAAGGCCTTCACTGATACTCATATTCCAATCGGGATAATCATGGCTCATCAAACAGACTCGAAACGGGCGAGAATTACAATGTTTGCTGTGGAACATAGGGTGGACGAAAATGATGTCTGTACGTACAAGATAGCTGTCAGCATGAAAAGTAAAACATTGAGCTCCTCAAGAAACATCACGTAATGCTTCCTTCACGGTGCAGAATTTGAAACAATGGGTAATAGCGGTGCGTAAAACACTTCAAAACTAGTGAGCAACTTCAACTTTAGGGATGCAGATGCTGAAAAAGTTGGACAGATATAAGCTTATTGCCATATAGGGAAAAAAGTTTGCTGCCAAAGTAGATATGAGGACATTACGATACCTTACAATGAATACGGAAATGCTCATTTCTAGTGCTTCCGTTTAAAAATGAGTGGTAATCAGAAACGAGTGTTTTGTCCCTAGATAAGAAGCTGATATGGCTTGAGATCCAAAGACTGAGGAAGAATGGCATTCGAACGGTAAGTTAAAATCTTCAATGTGGCTTCCTCTGTCACTTCGCACACCTGCAAATGTTACTTAGAGCATTGAGGCATGAATTTAAAGTTAGCTATTATCTAAAGTAGCATCCTTCTCATTACCTTCATTGAAGAGGTCGGATGTGAATTCGTGATATTCGCAAACATTTCGACATTTAGTATTCAAGAATAGCACATCACCACAACTGAGCATGAACCAGAGTGTAGGCAGAGACACACGTTTCTAACCGATCTGATCGTAGCTGTCACCACGTGCAAACGAAAACTGTACACACGAGATGAAATGATTCATGAGTTGCTTATCCAACAAGTGTCGTTAACGTGTTCAGCGCGTTACATGGGATGCAACCAATTTGCCATTAGCAGGAACCAGCCCCACTTTTACAACATTCATTGCTCCTCTAGGTAGTACTTGCACCGAAGGATGAAGACAGGAAAAAACAACTGGCGCACATGTGCAGAGAGACCGGTCCACTACGTCAACTCAATGTTCAAGGAGAGTTCCACTTCGACATATGAAGTGACAATCTCTCTGACTCGAAAACTGAGTAGTCAACCAGGCGATGTATGCATACAGTTTTCGACCTCTACCCCACTTCTTTGACTCATTCTTACAAGCATTGGTAGCGGAGTCACCACCTTGAAGAGCGGTCAAAATCCAGCTTATCTTACCATACGGAACATACGCAAATAATAGTGATTGAAAAAAAGGCCACGACATTAGAAAAAATCGGCACACCTAAGTTTGCTAAGGTACCGGTCGGTAAAACATCCATCCACCCCCTACATACTCGCATCAACGATTGAATAAGGCGAAATAAATAAATTCCGTAGCGCTGAGACATCTATACCTTACACTTAGATTCGAATTCTCCGAATTAGGCGACTGGAACGGTAAAAGTTAGACACTCTACTAAAAATCGTTTGTCGGAATTCGCTAATATCGAAGTAGTGGACTCGCCCATGACCTTTCAAAGCTTTTCTTGTCAAAACATTTCCATTTGCATCGAGGACAAAAGTTAGAAGCGGAGAAAATGAGGATAGGCCTAGGCAAAATTGCGAGACTGACAAACATCATAAAAGCCAACGTCTCAAGCAACTGTCCAACCTCAAGAGCAAGGACAATTAGGTATAACTTCCGGATCCATAGGAGTCAGGCGCCTCAACTAATCGACCCTTATTGATGTTAAACCGCATCGGATGTGCCCGTTGTGTTGAAACCCGTCACAGTTTTAAACACCTCCATATAACGCCTACATCTAAAGGAATCATTTGGAGACAAAAATGATCAACGAAGTTGAAAATGTTATCGAAAGGAAAAGACCACGCAAAACGGCATTAATTTACTAAGTCTCAGAGACCTACAACTCACTTTGCCAGGAGAGCATGCCACTATTTATAATGGAAAAGGCAGCACAGTTATTGTTTAGTATATACAGAAGAGTAATTATATACACATAACTAGGGCTGTCCAGATGTAGGATTCCTTCACCAATTCGATGATTGATATCCAGGATGGAGAAAGTGGCAGTTACTTCCGTTTCGGCAATTACCCTGTTGGAAGAATTTGCACACCTGCTCTACACGACCGCCCCGTCGCCCCCCGCCACTACAAGGCCCATTCATTGGGGGTCTGCCCCCGCCGTACATAGAGGGTGGGGGGCCACGGAACGGAGGTGGAGGCATGGGACCCCTAGCAAAGCGCGGTGGAGGGACATCTGAAGGAGCATACTGAGGATGGCGATAGGGCATGGGGCCTCCAGGACCCAATGGTGGCCGCATCGGAGGTCCACGAGGTCGCATACCATTGTGTGGAGGAGGGCAACGCTCCCCCGACATGAAAGGAGGACCCGGCATCCTGGGTCCAATGTCAGGGCGTATTGGACCTTCGCTGTGATCTTGACTTCCATAACCAGAAATATGGTCAGGAGACGTGTTCATGCTAGAAGTCTGATTAAAAGAACCCGTCGGAGAAACTGCTGTAGTTGATACAGGGGCCAACTGACTGGACTGCGTTGAAGGTTTGGTGTTGTCCTGATTGAAATTCAGGACAAGCGATTTAACGAGATTGGCAACTTCTGGGTTAAGGGACATCTGAAAGAAGATTAACAATTGTTCAGGAAAAGAAACCTGAAAGAACAAATTCATGCAACAAGACCGCAGCGTACTTGAGAATTCCCATCACCCTTGTCATTAACTACCAGAAGATCCTTGGCGTGTAACTAAAATCAAACAAAACCGTTTTAGAACTTGTACGCCCTCATTGGACGATTGAGTATCAGCTATACACAAAAAGTCAAGAAGATACGCAACCGACAACCACCACTCAAGTTAGTTCAGGACTGAAATTTGGAACAGACTTCCAGCCTCATATGGAACACGAGCTTTTCGGCGACTCATTTTAGCCGGCCAATCCTCTCTCTTTTAGGATATTGGCGACAGGCGCATCCAACCACGGTGCACGTCCGAAGAGTTACAGCGACTACAGTGCGATCAGAATACCGAGATGTCCCGGGGCTGTAGTGCTTTCCTCTCCAAATTAAACTTCAGCGTCGAAATAACAGCCGGCAAGCACAGCTATCGAAACCGGCTGATGTCGCAGGGGATAGAGCAACGATTCGACAAAATTTGCGACCCCACAGGCGGAAAATCGGCCGCACTACCCAAGATCGCAACAACAACCATTTGTAACATCGACCACTGCTAAGTCCTCAGCTTTTTGAGGTCACACTCCAAACAGAAGCATACAACCCAAACACTCAGTGGGAACAGCAAACACCCAATCGTTGCATGAATCCAACAAAACTTTTGGAACGTTTCCTTGCGATAACTGACAAAAAGGATGTCCACATAATTGTGATACGCCACTTCCGTCAGTATAACAATGCACCACGGAAACGATCAAGAGAAGCGAAATTTTATTTAGTAGAAAAGTAAAAACGATGAAAAGCAGCAAAACATTGAGCGGAAAACACCCTCCCATAAAACATACATCTTCTAACGGGATTTCAACAGCCAATTTGGCCTCAAATTCCTCTTTTTCAGGTTCCTCAGGGGAAAACGGTATACTCTCACGGGTGAAATAAATAGCCTGAAGAACAAATCGTTCCCGATCCAACTGAACTTGACGCTCAACAGACTTGCAACCTGGTTCGACCGACAGGGTTAATTCTAGGGGAACTGGAGGATACCACTGAAAACCGAAAGGAGAGAAGTTAGCATACCATAGGACGCTTTGTGATAGGACCTACAACAAGGGACCATACTTTGGCATCTTTAATTTCAATTTCCTCGTGCCGTTTAAAAAGTTGACGTTCAAGAGAATGTTCCTTCTGACGAATTTCCGCCAAAGAGACTCGGGTCACGTTAACTAAAACGGAGAAACGGCAATGACAAGAGTACAAAAGCAACCCATTGCTACTCGCCAAACAAACCTCTTTCGGAGTCATCGACCTCAAAATAGCTTATCTGCTGCAGCGACTCTTCGGGAGCCCAAGTAACGCGCTTCCTGGGCTTCTTGTCGACGGCAAAAGTAACGAAACTAGTGATGGATGGCTTCTTTTGAGATTCAGAATCTGAGAATAGCTTCGACTCTTGAGTCTCCGAACTAATCGACTCAAAAGACGCCCCTTTTGGCTCCTCGGATTCCTTGTAACTCAATTAATCTAATGCACAAGCCACTTACCGGTGCCGATTCAGAAGAGTTACCTAACGGATCAACTTTGCAAACCTTGCGCTTTTTTCGAACTACCGGCTGCGAGTTGGCAAGAGCATTTATAAAGTTGAAACTCTCATGAATCTCATGAGGTGCTACAAAAGAATACATTAAATGCAATCATCATACATTTCTTGGGCTCCGTGGGAGTAACCGTTATCTTCTGGTGGAAAGACTCGATAGGCCCAACCGGTTCCGCCTTCTCTATTTCCATTTTACTACACGAACCATTGTAAAAGTAGACAATATACCTCTTCTTTGCTAACACCTCTGACCTAGATTTTGGTACGACTTGATCACTGGCCTCCTCAATGCCAGCAGTTCGCATCACAGTAGGTGGGACCTTGACAGTAGACCTCCGCCTCTTCACCTCCTTGGACGCAGATGACAGATCACGAGAAGACACGTCTTTCTTGGTTGACTCTAGCTTCCGCTTCTTCACCTGTGCCTCTGTACTATCCTTGCGGGAGTTCCTATTAATGACACCTTTCCACTTCTTTACTATTTCCGCCGCAAGTAAGCGCACACCTACGAGAAATCAAAACTAAGCCTAAGCGACGGATACCTTCATTGTCAGACTTCTTCGACAGAGAATTTATCAACTTTGGACAAACGTTCCGCGTGAGCTGCTCCAAAGTGACAGGCAAGTCATGGTAAACCTGCATCAACTCAACCAAAAAGGAGAAGTTTTCCTCCTTTAAGGATTCTTGGAGCCATTTCAAAAGGATGTCCCACGCGTCAGTGTCGCACAATAGGGATTGCACAGACAGCTCCGAAGCCGATATAATACATAGAGATATGCACTTCGGGACGAGTTTCCCGTTGGTATTGTGCATTAGAGAAACCAACTCAGATATAGATTTCTCTCGAATCCCACCAGCCTCAGTGAGATGATCCCGTAGGGACTCAAGAAGCTTATCCGGATCGCCAATTATCTAAAAGTGCGACAATTACGATGCACTCATCTTTATACAGAACGCTCAGCATGAGCCACAGGACGCCCCTATTAGCAAAATTACCCAGCCCTCCAAAACAGTGTAATTCCCTCGCCCACTCCCACCCATCCCTAAAATTTTACGAATAGAACTCGGAACCAGACGAATCCCAAAGAACGAAACCAAACAACACAGCAATTTAAACCAAGAGATTGTCACGAGATGCATGAACACCTGATGAGAGAATGATAGAGACAAAGGAATGACTCCTGTCCGCAAACAAATTATAAAAAATCAACTAATTTTCAAATAGATATTTGCTCATCTTTAAGTAATAGACCAAACACAGTCTCAAAATCTCACGAATAGACGCCCGAGAATGAGAAGCCTATACGTAGATTCAAACAGGCATGAAGCCATAAATAAACTTGTGATAACACACAACGCAAATTCGAACCGCAATTAAGGCAACAAACTAACTAATGCATTAACTTAAAATCACATAGCTGTCATGTAACTCCCACAAAGGTGGTGCGAGAAAAGCACTTGAATTAACAAATACAAGCAACATAAAGCCGGTATAAAGAATCCGCCTGCGTCCGTACACTTCGACGATCCATCGATGAAAACCAGACTCCGAGTCGAACAAAACCGGAGGTAGAAAACAAAAACCGAAAGCGCAATGGGTGTACTATATATTACCGGTTTAAACAAAACGGCTCAAGAACTTAGGCTTAGGCGACACTAAATCATAAATCTTTATAAAATTAGCACCATTTATAGATTATCAAAGCATACTAAGTCTCATAAGTGAAGTATGGAGGTCGGTACTCGTTAACCGAGGCAAATAATTAGCTATCACAAGTACTTTATACTTGCCTTGTTACATATTTACAATGCACATTCATTGAATTAGTTTCAATCTTAGCAAAATTTAAGGGAGAATACTTTTTGTTGCAGAGGTTTGGATGCTAGACGTAGTCCCAACTATGAGTTTTACGAATGTTTTTAACCTGTTATTTATAATGATGGGTAATTAACCTACCATGCCTCTTTGCCTAGCTTAAATAGACTTTGACATAGCGTCTTGAGGATTCCTATGGAGTAGTAGGAGGCATAAGTGAAGATGAATACATGTATGCCAAAGACGACAGTGCAAATGGGCCTGAGAGTGGCCCGAAGGCCAGCTCACGTGTACAGAGGCTAGTCAACTTTTGAAGTGACCGCTAAACGTCAGCTAGTCACATAAAATAAGCATTGCACTGCCCTTCTATTCTTTTGAGCAATGTCCTCGGCGCCAGCCCTCACAACACATTCAGTACCACAAGAAAGCACCCACGAGCCAACAGCGCCTGTCGACGGACAACACGAGACTGCGGAACCGTACCTGGTCTCTTCGGCAGCTTCAACTGGATCTGGTGTTACGTTCGGTCTGGCAACCTGATTCAGAGTCGCATGCACCTATTGAGCATCAATTGCTTCCAGGAGTAGATGGTGTAACTCTGGTCTAAAACATATATATTGCAGGGAAAACGGGATGAGCCACTGTCCCGTTTGTAAGGAGAACCGTAGTGTCATTTCCGACATTTAATCGCGGATTTTTATGGGAAATCCCGACACGAAACTTTCCAGATAGTTCACGGAGGTGTCGCTTCAGTTGTTAATAGCTGGTCTGTGGAACACAGGAATAAAGTGAAACCAAAACATACAGACGTCAGTCCAAGTCCTTTCGTTGTGAAGGATTCAAGGATTCTCCGTCACCAAGGCAAATGCGCCTCCTGCAATTTACGTCCTCTCTACGCCTGTATCTTCGTCTACTACACTTCGATAGAATCAGACTTCCGTCTACGCATGTGTAGCTCATGATTACCGGTGCACAACGCCAAAACGCGCTTCTTAGTCTTGGATTTCTTCACTAAAATATAGAATTCCTTTGCAGTCTTGTCTGCTGGTTGAATTCCAAACTTGTTGTCGTGAAAAGAGAGGTTTCGAATTTCCGGTCAAGGGAACCCAATTTTGAGGTATCTGCATGTATTGAACCAGTGCATCATCCGATCGAACCGTTGATCGTCGGCTTGTTCGTGCTGTTCTTTTCCGGAAATCAGTCGATGAATTGGCAACGCAAACGTAGGATGTCAGTAAGACAGCGGTGCCTGTTGGGCAATGGATTTTCCCAGACTCTATGTCGCTTTTAACGAATGACCAACGAAGAACAAGCCGCAGAGGGACCCCACCTCGGCTGCAACAGAAGGTCTTCAAAAACACTATACCTAAAAGTCGTCAAAAAATTGTCGGGTTCGCTTTCCGCTGCCGCCGGTATAGCGTCCCGAAGCTTCGTATAGGGTAGTAGAAGGCATAAGTGAGGGTGAATACATGTATTCCACAGACGACAGTGCAAATGGGCCTGAGAGTGGCCCTAAGGCCAGCTCACGTGTACAGAGGTCAGACAAATTCTATATTGACTGCCAAACGTCAGGTAGTCACATAAACCAAGCATTACATCCGAATTGTCCAAAACTTTCTTTCGTGTCTGTTTAATGTTAATTTAATCTTGGCATCATGCCTTCTAATATCTGATACGAAGTATCGAACCGCTTAATTAGTGGCAGTGGAAAATACAAACCAGATTTCGATCTGCTTTAATCTTAATTTGTAAGGTTCGTAACAGACTTTGTTATGCGAGCGAAGGGCATACTTCCGAGTGAAACTTGGAGTGTCCTCAGGTTCTCCATTTGAATATTGAAGGCATAAGATGCGGCTATGTTTTCGGCCCAAAAGCTAGCCCATACAGCAGAAGCAAGACGACTGCCAAAGTGATCTACACCCGTCCAGGCAGTCAAATAAACAAATAATTATTGGAGAATACTCAACTCCCCTACAAAATGATTGTAAACAAGACCCAAATTTGATGCTCCGTAGCCGAGAATGTGAAAGACAACTGCGCCAGCCCACTTCATCCCCGAGGCCATGACTAAGCATTTACGTCTAATGCACACAGACACCAGCAGCCTACAACCGCAATCTGAACCCATGCTACACAGCATATACCTCCCTAGCTTTAGCGTTTCTTCCTCCCTCTTGTCAATCTCTCGCATCACCATTTATTGGAGCACTAACGAAGAAAGCACTGCCTTCTCTGCAATTTTGCCATAGCTAGAGCCCCACTCCACTTGTGTACTTTAACGGGAGTGGAGACGTCTTATTTTGTGACCTTAGGAGCGCAACGTGTATGGTGAGGTGTTTACTTAAACACAAATGACTTTGAAAGAACCATTAAAGGAAAGGAAATAAAATACCTCACTCCTATTTCTCAAATTCTAAATTCCATGTTTTTACAATTTTTTACCCATTTATTGATCTGGTTATACCAAATTTAACGTCTTTAGTATTGTGAGATTTTCCTTATGATGCCTGAATTCATAAAATACGAATAAACAGCGTACATTTGTTACTCAGAGAACCTCGGCGTCTGAAGTTCAGCTTATTCGGCAAAAGAACAGTGATGAGGCTCAACCGACATTCCCCACTTTACATACTCACTGTGAGCTTTTAGTGTTTCAGCTGCAAATGGTAATGACACTAATGCAACACTAGCGACTGCAGAGTTGACATTAATTTTGATCTCATTGTTGGGAACACGCCATGAGCCGTCCCTCTCTCAGCGAGTTATAGCATCTATTCCCATAAAAGTAGGACCACGTTTGTTCACCTCCCCCATTGCAATACTCTCAACAGGCACGACAGTCAACTGTCATTCTA